CAACCCATGAATGCATTTAAACAAGAACAACCGAATGGTGAAATCCAATTTAGAGAAATTTTCACACCCTGGATATAACTTTTATTTTCCTTCCTCCACTAATTTAAAAAATCTCTTTGCATCTTTCATATGGCCCCTCTCTCACTCCTTCATGGCTAAAGTCACCTTATACATTTCTAAAAGTATCATGAAGTAGACCATCAATATCGTCATGCATATCGGAACCATCATCATCATTGGTTGGATGTGGCAAATCTCCCGAGGAAAACCCTTCACCTTAAAAACCTCATTTGGTGTATCCATATGTAAACCCATAAGCAACAAAGTGATCCTCCACTATATTTTTTTAATGCCAATAACAATTAAAGCACTTTTTACAGGGGCAAAATATTTCATTTCCTTGGGAAGATCGTTCAAATGCTTTATCAAGAAAATCATTCACACCACGAATATACTCATAAGTGGATCTTCGAAGACTCATCCAACTTTTATCTCCATTACTCACTGAATATCCTATGAGACACATAATTAAATCAACAATTAGTAATCCTTATTCCAGTAAGCTACAATTATAGTATTCAAGTATGATGTTGTATCACCAAAGGTAATACATGCACCTTGATTCATATCCAACTCTCCAATATTGTCAGTATTCATTTAGTCAACCATTTAATAATTACTTCCCACTTTTTCAAACTAGTTGTAAATATTTATTGCAAAGCTGGAAGCCACTAGAAAAGAAAAAACAGAAAGGTTATAAAGTTGATTAATGATCAACGACACCTAACCTACTCATGACATGGGAGAGAAAAGATCATGTTTTATTTTGTAAAAGCATATACTCAAGTAATAGAATTGCAAAGGAATCAATTTACCTCTTAGATTTCAATTTTACACTCAGAAATATACTGGTAATTTTGGGACATATACTCGACCACAAGCATCTAAAAGGGATCTTTCAGTAGGAGGATTTTATAAAATTACCAAACTTTAGGACCGATCAAACCATCTAAAAATATATGCATCAGTTAAAAAAAATATACAAAAATACATTATAAATACATCTTTTTTATAACATGTTCTTACTAATACGATGATAATCTGATCACTTGAGTTGTAAAGTTTTTTGAAGTAAATTCCTGTAAAAGTTGTTTATATTACATATGCATCTGTTAAAAAAATTCAGATTGCTTGTGTCATGGCAAGAAAAACAAAAACAATTGTCCCTCATTTCTATATACAAACAACAATAATTTATACACCTTTTGCAAACAACTTAATGCAAGTACCATATAAAAATTACAACATTTCCACATATTTTTTACCAACAAAATAAGACAATTTGTGGAGTACTTACAACCTATACACATATACCTTTCACCAATAATTTTACATAGCCAAACCAGTAAGTCACAAAATATATCAAGGAAAACATATGAGAATTTTCAAGAATAAGAAATAAGATCCATGTAGACAACGTCAAGTTACCTGAATTGATGGAGGCTCCTCCAAGTTCACCAAAAAAGACAATTCAGATGATAAAAAACTAGCTGTAGAGTCTTTCACACTAGCTTGAAGGGATGATGAAGCTTGAAGGCTATTCACATATTATAATCTACACACTATGATATTGGATATTATGACAATACCATTTTCAGCGAGCTGCAAAAATTTGAGAATACATAAATCAGTTATTTGTAAAAGTAATATAATTCATCAGTCAAAATTTAAAATAGTAATAAAGTAAAACCAGGTCTAGTAAAACAGGTCCTCGAACACAATGCTAAGTGTAATATCCAGATCAAGTAAAAGCAGTATGCGATGGCACAGAAAAGCAGTGATTGGGTTGAAATAACATTAAAAGCAAGAATAAAAGGAGAAATAAAGAGAGACAAAAGGGCTGTGGGTAGGAAAAAATAAATCTATTTTAGAAGTATATTGGATCTGTCTGGTCTTCTGCATGAAAATAAAAGAAAAGAATTCAAGATGTCAATTTAAAATCCATACAGGTAATTAACACTAGTCATGACTACAACAAACACGAAAACTATTTATGAAGTAAGGAAAAGTGCAGGTGCTGTATCACTTCCTGCTTTTGCGTTATGGACAAGACCTGTTAGAACATGCGATATAAGGAGACAGACTGCCGGCACCTGATTTGCGCTATATGGTAGACTTGCCCATTTTTTCCAATCTTGTCCAATTAGCCAAATTAATTAGTTTCATCCCGAGACACACGGAATGAAACTAATTGCTTTTCAAGACACTGGAGTGTTTGAAGACAGATGTTTTTTTCTCTCTGTTTAAAATGTTCTAAACTGGAACTAATGGTTTCAATTTCCAGCTGAGCTTTGGAAATTTGAACAAATGTTTGATTCAGCCTCTCAAACAAGTGTTAAGTCATTCAGAGGTATCTGTCTTTTAACTACTCCTAATATATTTTAGTTGCTCAAATTTGACTAGCCAACGGCTTCCTCATCTTATGTTAGCAAAATGAAATGTGAATACCAACTTTTAATCCAGACAGGTACTCTTAAAAAAAATTCTAAGATCAACTATGTTGTGCTCCAAGGGCCCCACTGCTCCCTTTCATGCGCTCAGTGTTGTGTGATAAACACTTTCGCTAGGTCAGTATGAGGGTTCACTAGAATAGGTGTCTAGGTCATTACTCACTAGTATAGTTAAAACGTATAATTAAATTTCAGTGCCAACGTCGCTTATTTTTTATACATTTGTATTAAATGTTAAATAAAATTTCTAACTTGCCAATTCCAAACTTTCATTCCTAGTATTCTCTATGGGCAAAGGATACTTAAACTGTTGATTCCTAATACCTTAGTCCAGTGACATTCCAACTGTTGATTGATTCTTCCTAACTTGTCTGTATATTGTCTCTTCGACATTCTTTTGTAGTTGAGGCAGCAGAAAGTGCCATCTTTTAAAGTCACTCAACTTTTCTTCTTTTTGACTCAAATTTTTTTTTTCTGATGCGGAGAAAGCTCCTTATCAAGCAAAGTTAGAGGAAATGATGGCCGAATACCAAAACAAGATGCAGGCTTATAACATTAACAAAATACAATAGGCTGCTGATGTTTCTGCATTACCAAGAGCATTAAGATTAACAGCAGATTGAAGTAATATTTGATGTGAAGAAAATGGGGTGTAGGATATTTTATTTCAAGAAATACCATATGACATTTCCTTAGCATGTCTGTAATCCCTAGATAAATATTTGTTCAGTATTTTTTTCTCTGTTAAAAGCACAATAAAAGTTCAACATCACTCATTTCCGAGGCCTTTCTAGTTCACAATTGAAAAGTTAATATTGATACATAAAAATACCTTATGTACGTATCACATCAGCTAATAATTTCTTCCTCATCCTACTTCCCTGAACTATTTTCCATTTTAAGGTCACTACTAATCACAGTGTAAATCAAGAATTGAGTAGAGGACAAAAACTACATCCATACCTAAAACTTGTACATTCTTTGTTATGAGAAAAAGAATAGCATTTTCATACACAAAGTTGCAGCCAGAGGTTTAAAATTAACACTAATAAGATTAACATTAACATACTTTTCTCTTCTCTAGTCACACCAATCATTAAAATAAGAAAATATAATATTTCCTTCCACATAGGACAGTTCTACGAGGAAATACACATACAGTACATTTCTCAAACTTACCCTACCCATTTTAGAACACAAGAGCCAAACAACCAGAAAACCAACAAAAAAGTAAAATTTCCATATATATACAGCAATTTTCTCCAGCTCTCTCAACTTTGAATTTCCCTATTTAAGTTTTAGAACTTCGACCTCAACAATGGAGTTTTGAAGGGTATTTGTCACCTTAATTCCTCCCAAACAGCAGTAAACTCAATATTCAGTACAAAATAAACTTCGAACAAAATTTTGGCTCAAAGAATTGAAACCAAGTTTCTCAAACTCCAATTTTACTAAAACCCAAAATTTAAGCAATTTTCTTTAATTTTTTATCATAGATTTTTCCATGGAAAACTTAGATCTCCACCAAATTTGAGATACAAACTTTAAACCACACTAAAATAAAAAATCAAACATAAATTAGAACAAAAGACAGTAACTTCAAAAACCCATTTGTGTATTTTGTAAGCTTTTCCAAAAATACTTGAATGGAAAATCTAGAAATAGGGAACTTATAAGCCATGGAGGAGAGCATGCAGGCCTATTGTGGTAGAGAGCAATATGAATAGAAATCCTTCGCTGATGGAAATCCTTCGTTGGATTTGGAGGCCGTTTTTCCCTCTTCAAGAAGCCTTCACCGGATGGTTTTTGTTCTCATGAATGAATTGAATAGAAAAGATGTAAGAAGACCCTTCTTTTAGTTTGATACGTGTAATTTTAGATTTTGAAATTATTTTTTAATTATAAAAAGGAGCATTCCTGGATTTAGTGAAATAATTGGAGGGAAATTAAATCCTCTTTTTTACAAAGAATCGTCCCCACAAAGTTATTTTACCAAACTGTCTCCATAGACAGGTATGTGGCTGCGGTTATGTTACTACTGCGACGGTTTAGTTTCAGTACTATCTTTGGTTGTAACCCTTGCAATAGATGGGTTACAAATAGACCATCTATTGCAAGGGTTATGTAACCGTTGCTAAATAAACGATGCAATAGGTTTATTTTCTAGTAGTGTAATATGCCCAATTTTGAAAACCGTACCATCCTAGACAGGTTACCAATTGAACAATTCAAAAAATAAGTATCTGAAATCCCGGTAAATACTTACTCACACCGGGTTGTTTACACCAAACTATATTAACTTACTATGGTTAATTAATCTAATTAGATGGGAATGTATGTAATTTACCATGGTTAAATGATTGAAGTCCATATGCAAGACACATGTCATATATCTATTGGTTTGATGTAAACACCCGGTGCGGGTAAGTTTTTACCATGAAATCTCTAACTTGTCAGGCTTTGCTGAAACTGGACACTGGGTTTCAGGACTAAGAGAACACATAACACTTCCATAAATATTCACATTAATGCCACAGCTGACTTTCCTCTGGATAGGTTGTTTCAGGAAATTTAAAATCCCAAAATTGCCTACGAGTCACTTACATTCAGCCTGCTTAGAGCTGCATATACAACTAAAAAAGCATACACAATGCAACAACCGATCAAAAAAATTTCACCAGTTAACTCAAGGAAAGGAAGAGCTACACTGCTGCTATATTATTGCAAAAGAGAATCCCTACGAGCTGCAAAATTATAGCACACGAGAATCTCAGTAACCTTTTCGTTGTTTTATGCGCTTTCCTTGGGCTTAGGGATTTTTTTATATTCATAATCATTAATATCCACCTTCTCCTGCAAAGCCTGCGAAGGACAATAGGCATCAAGCTAAGCTTAAGAAAGGAATTCAACACAAGCACACATGCACACTTGAGGAGAATATTTGTACCTTTAGTTCTTCCTCCAGGTTAATTTTTTTGGGGTTATATGCATTGACAGGTCCAGCCCTGGAAAGAGCTTTTCTTGTTTCGATGATTTCCCACTCTTGATCGTCCTTTACTTTAGCTATATCCTTGCTGAACTACAAAAGTTTGCACCACTTAGTCTTTAACCAGGGCAGAAAGAAGGGGACAGCATCTTAAAAGGCATTCATGAGGCCCCGCATATGGCATGAGAATAGGGAGAACACCAAAAGCTGAGAATTTTGCCTATCTGTAAACTGAAGGGTGGGCATGAACCACAGAATTACATCCAGTGAGGGGTAAGAGATGGCTTATTTACCGTCTGGCCCTCATATTGGCCCTTAGACATGGGCGGACTTAAATAGCCCATTAAAATTAAGGGCTGTGCTTGAGCTAAAGAAATTTAATCTAGCGTGATGCTATTAGTTAGTAGCACTAATGAACTATACTAAGTTCTTATTGCATTAGCAATACACATGCATACCATCATCACCATAATGATCCAGAAGACAAAAGCGCAATAACATCAGAGTGTGAAAAGATAACAGTACAATGATCCAAAACAAGAAGATATACATGGAATTTAGGTCCAAAAAGTAAGTGAATTTTTCAACCTGAATTATTGCCAAACTTTTCTGCACCATCAATATACTTGTACCTTTTGACTTATTACATTTGCTTTGGCATTTGTCATACTTCATTCTCCTCCAAATATTAGTTTTTTAAATAAGGTAATGAATTTCATAGAAGGCATCAAGAAGACGAAAATATTACAATGCAAGATAAAAATATAAAGACAATGTTAGCTCAGTTACAAAAGGTAATCTGAAGTTAAGGAGCTGACAAAGTCCAAAAAGGTTTCCGGGGAATTAACAGGGTAAAAGCTAACTTCAACCATATTTAGTTACCTTTTAGGGGTCGTTTGGTTTGAATACGGCTTATGCCGGGATAAGTTATACTGGTATAAGTTATGCTGCATAAGTTATGCTGGGATTAGTTATGCTGGGATTGTTTTTTATCCATTGTTTGGTATGTTGTATTAAATATGACAATTGCATAATTTGTAAGAAGAATGTATACCGGCGTTAATTTTAATCTTGGGATAACTTATACCTGGTTTGCTAACCAAACAAAGTATTAAGGTGGTATTAAATTTTTATACCAGCACTATACCTTCTTATACCTCATACCAAACGACCCCTTCCGTGTTAACTATACAGGGTAAATGTAAGTTAGTGTTGTTCCCTGTTGATAGCAATATTAATTATAAATCTAATGGACTATAAATAATTCATATTCCAACGTTATTACGAAATATAAGGATCTGGGATACTTGAGTTTTTTGGACAAGCTATGGAGTATGTTTATATTCCTGCAAATTTAACCGTCTGTTGGCATGTTTGATTGTCTAGAATGGCCAGTTTAATCCTTTGAATATTGGAGTCACAAAATTGAGGAAAGATTCAGTAGTCCCTCTAAAGGGTGCTACCATTAGCCCCATTATACATGGCTCCATCCTCTGAATTTGTAGTATTGACGAAATAACAGTCAGAATGGCTGGAAGAGTGAAAACTTATTACCATTACATGAGATGATAATGAAAAGAGTTCTCCATGCCTTTTAATTCTCTTTATTTCTTGATATTTTTTCTCTTTCCCGCAAAGATCATGCCATTTTATGAGATGAAGTCAAAATGAACGATAGAGAACATAAAAGAGAGAAAAAGTTATAGTAATAGGTAAGACCTAAGTTGCTCGGACTCGGGCACGAGCATCCAATACGGGCACGGATCCGAGTGTCGGATTCGGCAAAATCGAAATTTTGAGAATCGGGGGTGCGGATCCAGGTATGGATACGGGTGCAGGAGTTCGGCTAAAAAAATTTTAAAATTATAAAAAATAGAGCTATAAAGAGAAAAAGAAAGCCATTCAAGTAGGGCTGTTCATTTGGATCGGATATCTGAAATCTGAACCGATCCGTTCATTTCGGATTTCGGATTGGATTTCGGATTGTGTTTATTAAAATTTCGGATGGGTACGGCACCAAAAATGAAGAGTCCGCACAACTTAGGGTAAGACGTTTGCTTATCATCAGCTGCAATAGCTTCTTTCTTCCACTCATTGTGACTCTTAATGCTTTGATATATGTAAAATCCTACCAAGCACAATAAGATCTACCCATGAACCACTACGAATCATCAATACACTGCCCTTAATTATTTCACGAATAAGCAGCACCGATACAAAGGCTAAGCAAGCACAACTTGCAAGTTGTCCAGGTGGAAGGTGATTTGAATAGGCGCGATATCAGAAGCTAGTAGCTACACATGATATAGTGTAACAGCTTAACTCTGTTAGCAATACTAAGATAAGTCATCCTACACATTTTGAAGGTTAGTACTTCTCATAATAATATGCAACTAAATTTTTTTATTTATTTTTATAACTGTCGTATCCTGGCCAGCTCGAGTGTACCTCGACTAAGTTCACGGCATACCTGTTAACTACCACCAGCACAGGTACCGGGTAGCTCTGTCCACCACGGCTTGGACAGATGGAAGAGTGGTTTTGCCTCCACTTGGATTTGAGCCTGAGACCACATGGTTCTCAACCCACTTCATTGACACTAGGCTGCTCACATGGGTGCAGCAACTAAATCTTATCTATAAAAATCCACAGCGCAAGAACACAAAAAGACCAAAACAAAAAATCACCATGGATGCCATTCCATTCATCAATCATTCAGGATGAACCTTTTTTTTCGGGGAAAAATCTTATTACACATGCTAGAGTATCATTGACCCTAAACCTTTAAGGGTCGTTTGGTAGGATGTATAACAATAGTGTTGAATAAAGTGTATTAGTAATGCATGGGTTAGTAATGCAAGCATTATTTATGCAGATATTATTTCTTATTCACTGTTTGGTGTGGTGTATTAAAAATTAAAATGCGTTGAATAATTTTTAAGAAAATTAGTTGTTTACAAAAATGCCCTCCATATTCTTTAGCTTTAAAGGACTTCAAGGACAATTTTGTCTTTAACCATGCCAATGCATGCATTAATAGCCTTGGTATTGCTAATACCATGGTTTGCTATGTATTAGTTATACATAGGATAATACCAAATCTGTTGTATAACTAATACTTGTATTAGTAATACATAGGTTGACAAAAGTGCCAAACAATAAATTAGTAATACCAAAAGCTAGTGCATGCATTATTTTCTCTAATACATGCTACCAAACGACACCTTAGAGGTTTCACAATCCCATGCCCCCTAGGGACTTGAAGCTACATATGAGTCTGCAGTATCTAAGACCCATATCGATTAATATGTAAAGGTCCTCTCCATCTGACTACCTCAACCTATGGACTCAGATGTCCAAGAATTACCCAAAAAATAAATAAAAATTACTACATTTTAGCTACTGCCAAGGAAGCAGCAACTAGGAAAGCTTTGAGAAGTCAGAGAAAAAAAGGCATCAAAAGAAAAAGCAAAGAACTGCGACTTAGATATACAATACAAGTAAATCAAAACAAAGCAAGGAAAATAGAATCCAAGTCCAAACTTGCAATTGCAGATAGTCATAAAAGGACTAATTGGAATACTTTTTAAAACATGAAAATATGACCCTACAAAGAGCCTCCACTGTAGCAGAAAGGTAGACAAGGAAAACAAGGACAAATTACATAAAACAGACAAACCCCCTTAACCAACATGTTTTCTGAGCTAAGCTCAAACACTTGCCAGGATTGTTGGTAATGACTCTTACATAACCTATGGAAAGCCAAACTATTTTTAGTTGTAGGATTTCATAACTGTGCCAACAGAAAGGCAGGACATGCAAAAACTTAGAATAGGTTATGTCAGTTTGTAAGAGTTACATGAACTTCAATTGAGTAGTTTGACATTAAGTATAACTAACCTGCCTTGCAGAAGTTGGCTAAGACCAATAGATCCAAGCACCGTGAGTGAGATCATAGGAAGTCCATATCTCATAAATGGTGATTTCCTTCCCAATCTTTTGTATGATGAAGTTGGGTTCTGAACCTTGGAAGCAAAGGAGGCTGCACGCTCATTAACTTTATTATTAAGATGACTCGTCATGGTCTGAGCAGTTGTCATTGGTATACGTCAGGAGGTCCCCTCCTTCACAATCTCCAACTAGGCAAGAAGTTTATAATAACCAATCAAATATTTCCGCGATTTCCTAATCAAAACATGAACTTTCTCTGTTCACAAATTAAAGGTTTTTTTTCTCCTCACAATTGAGAATTAACAAACACAAAATTTAGCACAGCTCAGCCATCAAACTCCGTAGGAATTTATTTGCAAAAGAATGTAATGCCACCCCACTATACATTTTTGACATCATCTTCCACAGTAACCATTGAAGAACCAACACTATACCCAATTCAGAATTTGTCCATCAGCTTCTATACTACTTTGGTCCTACTTATTTAATGGGTTCAAGGCGCACTTCGGAGAAAATAGTTACAGGGGCTTAAAGCTAAAGCAAATATAATGAATAGTTTCTAGAAAGCGCACACAAATTCGGCACTTTCTAAGACCAGAATGCAAAACTTGCATATATTTCAAACGAAGGAAACCTATTGAATTCAATTTCAGAAATAGAAGTCCTCTCTTTACAACAGGGACCAGCAAATGATTCAATTTAGCACTACTCAATTGAGATGACCAACATCGAAAAGCCGTAAGAGAAACTAAAGCATATGGAGAAGGCAGAAACAAACAAATCAAAGAACAGAAACTAAAGCAGAAAAACAACTAAATATAAACGGTGAGATGCCATACCAAATAAAAGGGTCAGAGGGTATAACCGAGAATCCGAGATCGAAGACAACCAAACAAGGTAGGGCAGGCAGGCGGCGCACGGCCGAAAGGGAGGTTGATTTGCCGATGGCGGTGAAGGATTATTTTTGACAGATTCTGGGAAAGAAAAGCAGGAGAAATAAATATTCTTTTCTTTCGTTAGAAATGAAATACTTGTAAATGTTACTCATACTAGTAGTTAGCAGAGAGGAATTGTCGAGGAATTGTCGAGGAGACCCCTCAAAACTTAAATTCCCATTTTTTTTCTCATTTTTTTGGGTTGGAAAATAGCTAAATGGGTGAGTTAAGGTAGGGGGAAGTGCACAGTTAGCCAGTAATAAGACATGTATTTATTTTTAAGCCACTTTTTAAAATGTCTTTAGTCTTTAGCCACTGCTTTAATAAACTTTTTCCTGCCCGGACGAAAATACCCTTCTGCTCATAAAGTTCAGGACCAAGTGTCCTTAACTTATGAGCTTGTTACTGTAAGTTCAGGACTAGCTGTCCATAATTTATAAGTCTAAGTTTAGGACTACCTGTCCTTAACTTTTGAACTTGTAAGTCTAAGTTCAGGACTACATGTCCTTAACTTTTGAACTTGGAACTCGAAGTTCAGGACTATCTGTCCTTAATTTCTATGCTTGTAACTCTAAGTTAAGGACCAAGTATCCTTAATTTTTGAACTTCCAACTCTAAGTTCAGGACCAAGTGTCCTTAACTTATGAGCTTGTTACTGTAAGTTCAATAGTCCTTAACTTTTGAACTTGGAACTCGAAGTTCAGGACTACCTGTCCTTAATTTCTGTGCTTGTAACTCTAAGTTAAGGACTACCTGTCCTTAATTTCTGAACTTCCAACTCTAAGTTCAGGACCAACTCTATTTTACTTTTAAAAGAAACGTAGATTTAAATGGTTGCACAACCCTACGTGAAAGTTAATTAATAAAGGGTTTAATGTTGTTCTTTTGGGTTGATGTATTATAGTAGAATTACATAAGAAGGATGTATAAAGGGTGAGAAGAAGAACGAGAAACATGTAACATCATGCTAACGTTACTAGCACCAAACACCTTGTGAACAATGGCAAACTTGTCGGGATCATCAGGAGGAAAGTAAGGAGCAAAGATACAGTCTTTGGCACAGCGACGCCTTAATAATTTGCCGGAAGCACAAGGAGAAATTAATATGCATTTCCGTTTGGGAAGGAAATGAGATAGAAGAAACGGTAACACCGTGCTACTTTTGCTCAGCATTAAAAATGCTGGATAAAAAGTAAATACCATTTTGGGTCACCATAAGGTTTGAAAAATAATATTTCTTTCTTATTTTTCTGCCAATTTCTCTCTTATCTCTCTACTTTTTCTTCTCTCTCGCTCAACCCCTCGACCACAGTGGTTTCCAACGGGAAGAGATAAGAATCAAGCTTCGATTTTGGGTGGAATCATCTCCATAGACCCAACAAGCACTGTAATGTTGCTCAAAACGTGTCAATTTTGGTAAATCCTAATTTTTTCTTGTTTCTGTTTCTTACATTTGTGATTTTAGGTTTTGTAGAGTGATTCGTTCATGTGCATGTTCAAGATCAATTGGGTTGTGTATAACCATATATTATGCGTGGGTGGTTATATTTGCTTCTTGGACTACCTCTATGCTTTGTATTTTAGAATATCGTTGGACTGGCAACTTAATGTTTATTGATAACATGTGGTCGATTGTCTTATGGTCATACATGTTTGCTGGAATTGGGGCTTATTTTTCTTATTCTGATCACAAGTTTTAAATTATTAAATGTGACATTGCATATTTGCATGTAGGTAACATGACGAAGAAATCAATTGCTAAGAAGCATATTCCTTCGACAAAGAAGGCAAATGCACAACCTTCAAACAGGAAAGGAAATGCAGAAACACAGGGAGCATCGATGTCACACCTCCTTTTTTCCCGAGGGGATAGGGGAGTTTTTCCAATTAAAGTGGCATTAATCGAAATGGGATTATTTATTTAATTTCAGAGTCGCCACTTGGAATAATTTATGGTGTCCTAAGTCACCGGTTTATTTTAAAATCCCAAATCGAGGAAATTTGACTCTGTTTTAAAAGTCTGCGAACACAGAAAACCGGGTAAGGAATTCTGTTAACCTGGGAGAAGGTGTGAGACACTCCTGAGTTCCGTGGTTTTAGCACGGTCGCTCAACTATTAATAATTGGCCTAATTATCTGATTTATTACATGTTTAAAACCTATTGTGCATTTTATCGCTCCGATACCGCTTTTAATTATTTTAATTGCTTTTAGGATTTATGGAATTATTTCTTGAATAACAAGTTAGGATGACGTACACTTGTCATTTTGGTACATATTGAAAATCGCGCCACGTGAAACGCACCCGTGATTCACAACATGTTTATTTTTATTATTATTTGAAGTTATGGTCGAGTCACGTGAAACGCACACTCGAATTGAGAATTATGTATCGCGACCATGCTACGGGAACCGTACACATAGTCGCGATAATTTATTTATTTATCGCGCCTAAAGCAAGCTACGATGTTCATAAGTTGTTCTTCCTACTTTGAGATTATTGTGAAGGCCAAGGTTATGAAAATTATTGTAGAAAAGGATATAGATTAGTTATAGAAAGATGAACTAGCTTATGAATTTTATTAACTCTTGGCCCACTAGACTTGAATTATCTAAGTCCAAACGGCCCAAAAGAATCCTCGTGCTTCAACCACACTGCACGGTCCAATTGCTAATTTAAAACAAAAGGCTTCAAATGATGCTCGAGTAAACCATCTACTAACTGAGTGCATAAAGAAATTTAACGATTACGCCAAACAAATAAGGAAAGAATCATTCATTTAAGGCTAAGATGAGAGGTCTTATACAATTGATCAAATGACTAAAGCAAAGGTTCAAAAACAAACTTCAACAGCACCCAAACAACAATGTATTCCAGTCATATAGGAATTTATTCCTATCTTTGATTAAAAGCACCTAAACAAGTTATATACATGAGGCAACTTCATCAAACATTTACAAGTTAAAGAAAAGGAAGAAAGCACTTCTGTGCAGAAAGTTTCGCCGGAATCAACACACCTCCAATTCAGATGCAAATTGTTATAACAGTATCTAAATCCAACTTTATACTCAAATAGATATGACATGCAAATCAATAACAGTGATCACTAGTTCAACAGAGAACAACTTGTAATTTCCGAAATCCTTATTCATAAAAACACGAGTGATCCAAATCAATTTACAGAGTCAAAATCGAGAAGAGTACCTTGCTGCGACAGAATAAAGAGAGGCGGTGATAGGAAATAAATCTGGAGCCCAGCAAAGAAGTGAATCAGCAGCGCTCGGCAGTAATTTAAGAGTTCAATCACTCTTGGTAGCCCAGAGATTAACCCACAAATTAATAGAAAACCATAGCTCTAAAACGGCCAGAAATTTGAGATTAAGCACTTCACTTCCAAGCAAGATTCAAACACGATTTGCTTTCCTTTTTTCAATGAGAATTTCTCCAAGTCTTTGCTATTTCAGTTTTCTTCCCTTTTTTTAGATCTCAGAGGATTTTCTTTTCCATTTTTTAGCCGTTTTGGCGTGTGTGTGAGAGTGAGGATGGACGGCTGCTAGTTCTTCAGAGAGGAGGGAGTTAGAGAGGAGGGAGGCGGCAGCTCATGGGTCTGTTCGTCTGTCAAGAGAAAGATGAAGAACAGGGGCGGCCGCTGTTGTGTGATGACAGAGCTAGGGGTCTAGGGGTCGTTTGGTACGTGGACAACATAGTACCAGGATTATAATATCGGATTATAATTTCGCTACTAATTTATATCACATAAAAGATAGGAATTATATAATCCCATAATTGATGGTATAAAGTGGGAAAAGTGGGATAAGATTTGAGATTATGTTTATACCTTGTTTGGTTAGAGGTACAAATTTATCCCACGATAAATTTATACCTCCAACCAAATAAGGTACAAATTTAATCTCAACTCTTATCCCAGTTAGTACCTCGTACCAAAACGACCAGTTAGGGTTTCTTTGGAAGGGGGGAAGGAAGGTCCGATTCTAATAGGGTAGGAAAAATAATTTGGTTTTAATAAGGGGATTGGGGCCAGGCGGGTCATGGGGAATGGGTTTGGGCAGATTCTTGTGGAGTTTTGGGATGTTGTAATTAATTTGGCCCAATCTAGCTAATAAGCTCAAATAGCCGTACTTCTCTTTTTAAAGTTTCACTATTAGCCACCAAATAAACCAACATAATAGGTAAACTAAAATTGCAATACTAACCTCTTTACTACATTATCTATCAATTAATTAATTAATTACCTTAACAATTAAACTAATAAAAAGAAATTATTAATTTAAAAGAAAAAGCTAAAAGTGTAAACACGACTAGGTTATTTGTTGTGATTTTCATTTATTAATTATGCAATTAATGTGTGATTAAATACTAAAATATAATTAAAATCTAAAATGCTACGCAATGAAGAATTGAACATTTTTATGGTATTTTTCATCATTTTAAAATGCTAAATATGCAAAAAGATGCAACTAAATGCAAGCGAACAATTAAAAAGAAATTCCTAAAATTCTATAAAACTTAAAAACAATTAGAAAGATTTATTTTTTGTGGATTTTGTAGGAATATTTTCATAGGGCAAAAATTAGGTGCTCACACCTGCCCCTCTTTGCTCAGAAACATGAAAAGTTTTCGGGGCAAGTCAAAGCGAGCAATGATGAACAATTTTTGCCCGTTCGAATACTCCATGAGAAGCATTTTTGAAAAAGTTTGACCGAACCTTGCTTCGGAGGTTGCCTGCATATCATTGGCTATAAAGGAATCAGGTCAATGTAGTTCTGGAAGTTTTGGTAGTTGGGACTACCGAATAGCTGTGATTTCACTGTTGTTGCTGTTGTTACTGCTTGCCGAACTCCTTATTACACCAAACGAAAAAGGCTAACTAAGCCTAACAGCTACGAGTTACAAGATTTTCTATCTATGAGTCTTTTGAAGCTTGATCTTGAGTTTTGGCTGGTTCTTCACGCAGACTCTGATCTGAACATTGATGCTTGCTAGCTGCAGGTGCTAGTTCATTGTTCTTCGGCTTTTTCGGATCAAGACGGGACATGTAAAGCTTGTGACTTTAATTTAGTCATGTCTTCTCCACTTCTGCACTTTGGATTCATTTCTTTTCATTTTTTTTATTATTTTGGATTGAGACTTCTTTTTCGGTCATCTCGAACCTTGTGCCTCGAGGTAACAACCTGCTCAAACACCAAAACAAACGAACGAACGAATTTTTTCTGCCTCAATTTTCACTAGGAAAATTTCATGAGTTCTTTGTAACAAAACTCTATACTACTTCACTATTGAAACCATTAAAAGGCGAGATTGGTGTACCCTGAAAAAAGTTTAGAGACTAGGGAGTGAAGACCCTATGTCTAAAATAGAAGCGACTAGGGAGTGGAGACCCTATGTTGGAAAAGAGACTAGGGAGTGGAGACCCTATGTCTAAAATAAAATCAACTAGGGAGTGGAGACCCTATGTTAGAAAAGCGACTATGGAATGGAGACCCTATGTCTAAAATAAAATCAACTAGGGATTGGAGACCCTATGTTAGAATAACAACTAGGGATGGAGACTCTATGTCTAAAATAAATCAACTAGGTAGTAGAGACCCTATGTTGGAAAAGCGACTAGGGAGTGGAGACCCTATGTCTCAAAACAAAATCAACTAGGAAGTGGAGACCCTATGTCTAAAAATAAAGTCAACTAGGGAGTGGAGACCCTATGTTGGAAAAGAGAGTAGGGAGTGGAGACCCTATGTCTAAAATAAACATCAACTAGGGAGTGGAGTTATGTTGGAAAAGAGACTAGGGAGTGGAGACCCTATGTCTAAAATAAAGTCAACTGTGGAGTGGGGACCCTATGTTGGAAAAAGAGACTAGGGAATGGAGACCCTATGTCTAAAATAAATATCAACTAGGGAGTAGAGACTCTATGTTGGAAAATCGACTAGGGAGTGGAGACCTTATGTCTAAAAATAAAGCCAACTAGGGAGTGGAGACCCTATATTGGAAAAATGCAGCTAGAGAGTGGAAACCATGTGCTACCATGAATTTGAATTTTCTTTCTTTTCTTCTTTTTTTTAAAAGAGAATGAGTAAAATACGGGAAAGAATTTTGAAAAGACTTCCCTCTTTTGGAGTTGTTGCTGCTGCAGAGCTATTTTGGTCTCTGCGCGGTTTCTTTTTGGTTGCACCTGCTTCTTGCAAGGTTGCTTTGGATTGCACCTGTTTCCTGTTTTTCAAACACAAAAAAATTTGTCAATTTGAAACGGTGGTTAGTTTTGTGGCCTTGAACGTTTCAGTCACTTGATCTCCGCCCTTTCAATTGCAAGCGGTTGTTTCTTGAGTACTGATTGCATTTCTGACCCCGGAGAACCTCTGGCTTTTCTAGACTTTGCCATGGCGGTTGGTCGCGTGGGACTCAACCTTCTCCAACTTTATCTCGCCTTCGTAGGCCTTTCAATTCTGACTTGTTTTTTTTTCAATTTTTAACCTTGCAGGATTGGGGAACTTTTGGCTCCTCAAAAACTTTTGCCACAACGGCTAGTCGCGTGGGACTTAACCTTTTCCAACTTTATCTCGCCTTCGTAGGCCTTTCATTTCTGGCTTCTTTCTTCCAGTTTTAATTTCAGAGCATTCGGGGTACCTTGGCTTTTCAAACCTTGCCGAGGTGGTTAGCCATGTGGGACTCAACCTTTTCAACTTCATTTTCGCCCTTGTAGGCATTTTAATTTGATTTTTTCCATCCAAGAGTTTTGATTTCGAAGCATCGGCCGCCATGGCCAGTCGAGGTCGACTTGATGCCCCTGCCGAGGATGGGTGCCTTTTTGCATGTTAGCTTATATCAAATGAGAACCATGTAAACTAGTCTTACCATCCCTTCTTTGTCTTGGTTTCAGAACAAAGTTAGACCGAAAGGGATTCAAAGAAAAACAAACAATGGAATGGATAATGAACTTAGGCAAAAGGTATCCCTTTTGGGGAAAGAAAAGAAGGACTTATCTGGAGTATATGTGGACTTCAATAAACATGACATGCCTTTTGGACTGGATGCCTGACCTGTGTAAACCGTCTAACTCTCAGAAATTCATCACAAATTTTGCCTCACAACCGAGAAACCTTGCCCAAGACTGTGTCGCTGCCAGTGACTGTGAGGATTTTCTTTTCGATCAGTGGCGCCCTTTGCGAGTTTTCACCAACTGACCTCTCTCATTTCTCTTCTCACCATCGCTTTATGGTGCTCTTTGCAAGTATTCACTTACAAGACTCTCTCATTATTGTTTCTCTACTCACCATTACGGTGCCCGTGAGGGTTTTCACCAATAAGTCTCTCATTTTATTTCTCTCATTTTGGTTGCATCAGATGCTGTAACATCTTTGCCAATTGACCGGAAGAACTTGAAAAGGATTTGGGTAAAAAGAATTTGGATTGAATTACAACTTTGTAACCATTCAGGCGAAAACATCGCCAAACCATTATAACATCTACCCCAGTTTCAACTTTCGGGGGAATGTGGATTTTTATTTTGGGGCGTGACAAACTTGGTATCAGAGTAGTTATGTCCTAGGGAGTCTAAAAGTCATGTGTAGTAGAGCCTTGTTTATCGATGTGTTATGCATAACATTATATAAACAGGAAGCTACAAGGCATTTAGGAGTCTGTTGCCCTTCTTTCAAATCCACATCGTGCTATAGAGCTGGGTCATAAGAGTTCGAGCCAAGACTTATGTTTGCTAATTATAGAGATGCTTGTATTTAGAAAAATTACAGCTAGCCAGAGGGCTAATATAGCAGCAGGTAAGGGCATTAGTAGAGAGAGAATTCTTGATGACATGTCCCTGTTTAAGGCCCTATTAGATCGTGCATACCAGATGGTGCACTCTAGAATAGTACAGTAAGATAAGAATACTAGAATGTTCAAAAATATTAGAAGACATGTAATGGCATCCTAGAAGGGATAAATATTTACTTTAGTATGACTCCCGCCCCTAGTAAAAAGAGAATAGTAGGCAACCCGAAGAGTCAGTGAGATGGAGCAAGGGGAGATAAAAGTGAAAGAATGTTTTGTTGAAGTTTTTCGAATAAGGTAATAGACGAAAATATTAGCAAGAGAATAAGAAGAGAGTAAATAAAGTATTATGAGTAAGAAGTGATAAATGGGTGATAACTGTAATTCAAAATATGACAGGATGACAGAGTATATAGTCAAGTGAAGGAAAAGACAACAGGTGACAGGCCTTGAGACCATAAAGAGTATAAGCCATAAAGTCATATCCTTATTTTGAGAAATGATTTGGTGACTCCCACATGATTACTAGAAGGTTAAGTTAGACTCAGGAGTAATAGAAATTAGTATGGGCTAGTAAATAAGAAAAAAAGTCAAACATAATTTAGGGACCGAAGGATTTTATAATAGTCGGCATCATGAGAATTTCAGAGATCACGTTCCAGCAATAATAGAATTGACAACGGAAGAATAACCTTTAAAGGTAATTTAGGAAGACGTTTCCCTAAAGAAAGTACTGTGAGAAGAGTTAAGATTAAGGGACTAAGTGCACCAGTTACACTAGGTGTCACCATAAGAAATTCAGTTATCTGGGGCACATAAGGGTTACCACAAGGCGAGTAAGAGTCAGTGAAGACGTGAAAAGACGTCGAAGATGAAGATGTAAAATATTTATAAGTAAATCTTCATAGCGTTAAATGCTAGTACTCCCCAAAAGGGG